ATCTATCTATCTATCTATCTATCTATCTATCTATCTATCTATCTATCTATCTATTATATCTATCATATCTATCTAATCTCCTGTCTACCTACTTGCCTAGATCGAAATAAAAATCAAAAGCTAATTACAACCGGAAATTATCTCTTAGAAATCCTTAGTTTCCACATAGATGAGTTCTCAGGGGAGAAAGAATGACTATTACAATCAGTTTAACTATATTGCTCTGGTATAATAAGTCCAGTTTGCATGACTGCACTTCTCCATCCTTGTATAAAATCTGTGCAAATAAACTTGTTCCAGTCTGAACAAAGATCTGATTCATGACGGAACATTGCATGATTAGCAGAGCTATCTCACCTCTTAGACAAATGAGACATTTGCTCTATGTATATATGAGTAGTTTGGTTTGCTGTCTGATGTTCACTTCATTGTAAGAAGGACTGAAGTTAGATAAATTATGATGGGTAGTGATTGTACTTGTGACTTTTTTTCCTGGACTTAGAATAATGAGAATGATGTGGCAGCTACATAGTTGACTAGTGATAGTTAGCAATTGTTAGTCTAGGTGGATTGATGAAGAGCAGAGAGGGAAGGAACACTGGCAAGTGAAGACATAAATAGGCTAAAGGGGAAAAAAGATGCTGATGTTCATTCTTACTGCAGCCCCATGACAAAAGTTCTTGGTTTAGATTCTGAATTTTCAAAATTGGAAAGTGATGTTTCACAGGCACCTGGCCATTACTCAACTTCCTGCCCTGAGCTTCACAATTCCCACTGGAACATCTTTATTTTTTGCTGTGATAATTAGATGCATTCAAAGCTTCACACCAAGACTTCTTGATCAATGGATTACCTTCGATGCTGTCAATCACAAGGTACTGTTGGACTCTGTGTGTCACTGAAGAATGAAGCACAGCTGCTGCTGCTGTTGCTCCTCCTGTAGGTCTCTGCCATGAACTTCTCAAGGGACCCTCAGTGTTCTGAGCTGGCATTTCTATTCATCAGCCAAGACATAGGTCTGATTGAAAAAGCAATAGCCATATCTATTAATTTGCATCTCTCCTTGAATATTCATCATTTATGTTTCCCTTTGTTTCCATTCTAATTTAGTTAATGAAGGATAGCTAAGTAAAATATGAATGGGTAATCTCTTCCTTTATTTGGGAAGAAATGAGAATGTTTTATTTTATTTTTATCTCTATTTCACTTTATCTTCTTTTTTTTTTTTAAAGAGTCAAGTACTCCATTTCTTTGAGACAAGTCAAATTTGATATCAGGCTTTCTCCTGAATGACCTTTTCCTGTTCTAACAATAACAAGGGAAATTAAATCCTCTAATGAAATTATTCAATGCCTCGTACCTTGACTTAACCCAAAGATGATTTGTTTGATTTTGGTTTAGCGTATTGTGTGAAATCAGCTGGTGTGGGCTGTAAACCAGGCTTGATATCTAAATCAATAAATTCACAATCATAAATACATATTAATAATCGTTGCTGATAGTTACCTTCCATTTAAGGATGAAACAGAAGAAAATTGGACTGGAGGTCTAAAATAGACACAAAAAAGCCTCGGTGATGCAGCGGACTAAATGCTGTTAAGTGCTAGCACTTAGCTGCCAGCTGCCTGCAATTAGTGCGAGTTCAAATCTCACCAGGCTCAAGGTTGACCCAGCCTTACATCCTTTCGAGGTAGGTAAATTGAGGACCCAGATTATGGAGGCAATAAACCAGCTTTGTATATAACAACACCGCTTGTGGGGGGGGGCGCGCGAAAGCCCTAATAAGCAAGTATATACATAAAAGTATGCAGGCTATAATGCATTTTAAGCTGCCCTGAGTCTACGGAGAAGGGCGGCATATAAATTGGACTAATAAATAAATAAATAAATAAATAAATCATTATTAAACATTAAAGAGCCTCCCTCCCCACATCTCCTCTCCAATCTATCTGCCCCCATGATCTGACCTAAGCCAATTGTTAGTCCTCAATCCTGTAAAAAAATCTTAAATGTAATCATATATCTCAAAATATTGTCCCTCTCTGGCTAAGCAAAATGGGTCACTTTTGCCAACTGAAACTTTACAACAATCTTGATATTTTAACAGAATGTATAATACCAGTGTCAGCTGATAAAATGAGTTTTACTTTTCCAATAGTAAAATATTTTTAAATAATAGTCCCCCAATTCTGCAATATCATCCTTAAAAAGTTTAAACTGATGTTAATACCCCAAATTTTCCAGTGCAGCTCCAAACCCATTTATTAACCAAGCATTTATCTCCATCTGCTTTATATCTGCAACATTGTGTTGCATTTCATTGTTGAATGGAAAATGATATGTTATGACATTCTGTTTTCATTATATTGCATTTTTACCTGATGTATACCACCTGCAATCCATCAGAATAAAGAGCAATCTAGTCATTTTTTATAAATACATTTTTTTCCCATTCTGGATACCTTGCATCTTTGTTTCCACTGATGTCAAGTGTGCCCATTATCTATTTCAGCATATATAGTTTGTCAGTTGGTACCCTATGTCAATAAAAGAGAAAGTGAAGAGAATTTTTACTATGTTATCCTCAGTGTTAACCTAGGGAATCATAAGCTATTTAGAAAGATATGTCATTTAGAATTTGACTTGGATTTTTAGAATTAATATAATGTTTTGTAGGCTTCATAAGAACATTAAGATTTGGTTGTTTGCTGTCGCACCCAAATGACAAATTTTTCATTTACAAAAATTATTTAATTATATTACAAGCTTTGAAAAGTACAAACTTGATAAATCTGTAGAATTTATGGTTGTTAATCTGCTGCAAACTATTTCTTATTGGTTAAAGTTGCTTTGTATAAGATGTTAAGACTTTAGGTTCAATTGAATATGCCAGATAACCCAGTTTCCTAAATCTATGAGTAAGGAAGCAGGGAATGAGTAAGGTAGAAAATATATTAAGCATGGTGCAACATTGTTTCCCTTAAGTAATAATGTCAAAGACTAAATACATTGAAACAATCAAACCTCTAAACAAAGGACTGGCCAAATACTACATTTGCTAAACGAATACATTCAACAAGGAAATCTAATTCTAGCACAGAGAAAACTTGCTGTAAATATGACATAATGGTTGGCTTGCTCAACCATCTTTGTTCAGGATTTGTAAAGTTAAATGCAATTTATTTTAAACTTTGGTTGCTCAATATTTCTCTCACTGATGTGTAGCAACTATTATCATATTTATTGTTAGTTTTATACTATAAGCAGGTACTTGATGGATTGCAAACATTTCATACTGCTGAAGCCATTAATAACTTCCTAAACTGATCTTTTTTTCTCTCTCTCTCTTATGCTTTGTCTTCATTGTGTATCAATGGGGGCTGACTAAGAAAATATGGGAGATGAAAAGACATGAGCAAAAGACATGCCTGAAAATGTTGGTTGGTATTAGAATTGTAATGACAGAATTGCTAAAGTTTCACTCAGGGTAATATTCAAAGTAAATGTGAGTGGTGAGTAATTTTTCTTCAGCAGAACCAGCCAAATTTCCAGAGACTTTTCAAAGGGCACTTCCATGTAAAGTGTGGTGAACTAAAGACATTTACACAAAAGTAGAGCCGATGACTGCAGCAAAGATCAAGGAACCAGTGGGTAGTCCAGTTCCTTGGAACTTCTCAACACTGATTTGTAATACAAAATACCGTAAACTATTCACAGAAGTGAAGAACTGCAAAGGTCTACCCAAGACAAACAAATTTAACCATTGCCAGAAGTAGCCCAGACTACAGACACAAAGCCAGCATAGCTATTGAATCATTTTTATTCCCAAACCAGGCACTCTCTCTGCCTTCCTTCACAGAAAGGACAAAACCCTCTGAGAAACTCAAGAGAAATTGAAATAAAGAATAACTGAACATCTATAACAGCAGAAAAACAACAAAATTAGGTTTCCTGCATTATTACAAAGAAGCAGCACAAATATTAAAAGATACTACCCTCCCAAACAGCAGATGGACAAAAGATAAGCTCCTAATTGACAAAATTATTTTAGAAAACTCTTTAAGTAAAGGAAGCCCAATTTGAATGTAGCTTGGATTGATTACAAGAAGGCATTCAAGTTCAACTCTCTGCCACACGACTAGATAATCAAATAATAGGAATCAGTGCAAACATCAGAAGCTTTGTGCAAAGATCAACAGCACAATGAAAAACAGAATTGCTCGTCAATAGTGATAGACTGGGAGAGATGAACATTCAGAGAGGAATGTTTCATGGAGACTAGTTATCACTATTACTCACATTGCACTTCTTCTGTCAACAATACTGAACAAGTCAGGTGATGGCTATCAGACACCAAAAAAATCTGCTAGGCTGTCCCACCTCCTTTACAGAAACAATCTAAAGCTGATGGACACTGTCCAGATATACTGCCAAGATATTGCAATGGAGTTTGGAGGGCACAAATGTGTCACCCTTATCTTCAACAGCAGAAAAATAACTAAAACTGAAGGAACCAGGATGCTCTAAGGAAATAACATCAAGAGTCTGGAGGAAGAAGACCACTACAAATACCTGAATATCCTTTATGTGGACAACATCAAGCACACTGGAGTCAAGAGGGAGGATAGAAGTGAAATGTCATGAGGGTGAAGAAAATTTCAAAGTCCAAACTCAGTGTAGTAAATGCCACCAAGATAGTTAACATTTGGGCAATTCCAGTCATTGGAATTGGAATCCAGACCACAGTTGGAACAGTGGACTGGATTCAAGCAGAACTAGAAGCTCTTGACAGGAAGATTAGAAAAAATAATAACAACAAATCATGCCCTTCACCCATACAGCAACATTGACAGACTTTACTTACTGAGGATCATAGGTGGGCATGGAATGTTGTACAGTAGTGGCCAAAATTGTGGAAACCTTTTGGGAAAAGTATATTTTTGAGGTTTGATGGCTAATCACACCCTCCTTTTTTTTGGAGTTTCAACACAATCATATTCCACTGCTAGAATGGCCTGGGAATAGCCCAGACCTTAACCCAATTGAAAATCTATGGAGCCAACTAAAGAGACTTGTTAGTCAGAAGCGACCCAACAATAAAACCCAGTTAATAGAAGCAATCATTCAATCTTGGTTTCACATTATAACAGCTGCAGAACTAAAAGACTTGGTTCACTCCATGGGAAGACGTTGTAAGGCCATAATTCATGCTAAAGGTTACCCAACTAAGTATTAACTGACATGATAATTTTTGTATATCTCATCTTTTCTATGGTGATAATTTTTGTATATCTTCTTTTTTTCTACATGTTTCATTTTTCTTCTTTATACTGTAACTGCTATTCTAATAGCAAATCCTTCATAAAAGTTATTGCATTACATTCTTGATTAAATTATCTTTCCATTGATATATAATTTTTATGGTGCTACTCCAAAAAAAAAAAAAGGTGGTGTTATTAGCTAGTTTTAGAAAATACACTTTTCCCAAAAGGTTTCCATAATTTTGGCCACTACTGTAAGTATATCAAACAGTTGAAGAAGAAAAAATAGCATTGGAAGAATTTCTTAAGGAAAGTGAAGAAAATGCACTGAAGCCAGTACACAATGAAGGCTTACTGAATACTGGAAAGACTAAACTGGTCTACAAGAAAGACCAAATGAAGAATAGAATAGAAAGGAGACATGGCAAGGTAAAATATCACATTGCCAGTAAACTCACAAAACAACAAAGCAAATGACAAGAAAGACTGTCAATGACCAAGAGCAGGAATGTTGAAGAAAGAGACAGAGGGGCTAATTCTGGTGCATAAGACCAAGCCTTAAGTACAAATGCATAAATGACAGAATTGAGAAGACAGCAACAGCAAAGGCTGTCTCCACAAAGAAGCTGAAGAAACAGTGGAATACCTAGTCAGTAGTTGGTTTATGTGATCTTGTGGCAGCTAACAATCATATGACAAAATAGGAGCAATGATGCATTGGAATATCTGCAAGAAATATAATTTGCCTGCTAGCAAG